AGCTCAGGTTCTGACAGTGGGCAAACAATCTGAGGGTCTTGCCCCAGAGGGCAGAGCGAAGATATGAACACAGATGGCATTTTAATATTCTTGGTAGGACCTAAATACCATCCTCATATCAGTTTTCTCTATAACAACTAAAACAATTTTCAATTAGCTGGGAATTTTTCGTGTGCGTTTCTCTTATTCTTCCAGAGCATGAGGGGTGTGTGAGACACAGCAATGGCCTATTTGGAACAATTCCCTCTCTATCTCATTCTATTCCTGAAACAAGGCCTGTGGCTGTGACGGTAAAGCCTCCTTGTGCTTCCCTGCAAACTAGGCCAGCACATCCTGCTGGCCACTCCTTGACGCAGCGGGGCTGACAGACAACACAGGTTGCCGCAGCCACAACAGAGGTAACAACACCTGAAGTGAACCTCGGCTGAAGTGCGGTTTGGGTGATCACATTTTTCTTTCCTCTAAGTGCTATGAAATAATTCCATTCGATTTCGTTTTATTCTACTCTCACTCTCCTTCCTAATGGAACGTAAATCATGACATCAAATTACACAACAGCAAAGCAGAGCCCGCAGCCCCAGAGGCCATGTGTCCAATGCCATGGTGGCACCTCCTCCCTGACGCCCCAGGACCTCCTCCCAGACGGCCCAGGACCTCCTCCCTGACCCCCCAGCACCTCCTCCTTGAAACCCCAGCACCTCCTCCCTGATGCCCCAGCACCTCCTCCCTGACACCCCAGCACCTCCTCCCTGATGCCCCAGCACCTCCTCCCTGACACCCCAGCACCTCCTCCCTGAAACCCCAGCACCTCCTCCCTGACCCCCCAGCACCTCCTCCCTGACCCCCCAGCACCTCCTCCCTGAAACCCCAGCACCTCCTCCCTGACCCCCCAGCACCTCCTCCCTGAAACCCCAGCACCTCCTCCCTGACCCCCCAGCACCTCCTCCCTGAAACCCCAGCACCTCCTCCCTGACAACTCAGCACCTCCTCCCTGATGGCCCAGGACCTCCTCCCTGACACCCCAGCACCTCCTCCCTGACACCCTAGCACCTGCTTCCTGAAGTCCCAGCACCTCCTCCCTGAGGCCCACTCCACTCTGCTGTCAGCTCTGCAGTCGGCTCGGTGTCCCACCCCTCACACCAGCTCTCAGGGATGTCCCACCAGCCTCTTCAGGAGCCTGAGGCTGGAGACAGAATTGTGAGGCCTGCCTCTCACCTCCTCCTTGTGACCCTGCCTC